ATTTTACGTAAAATGCAGAAAAATTACTTAGAAGTTGGTTTAGCTTTATTTATTTGCACTTGAAACTAGACAAACATACTTGGTAAACTTTGTGTTTTTGCAGAGATGTAGCGTTACTGTATGGCAGGTTTCATTTCACTTTTCTTTACTTCGTCTGCACTGCAAAAACTAAACCCTACCCAGGATTTTTGTTTTTTTCTAGTGCAAATGTCTTAATACACTTAAAATAAACAAAGCTAACTTTAAAGTAGCTTTTCAGCAAGATGTAGAATCAATAACTCCTTAAAAATGGGGAAAAAGATTCCTACAGCTGAAATAATTCAACTTTTTTATCAATATTAAAGAATAATGAGTTAGTTTTTTTATTTTAAGTGTAATAAGATATTTGTAGTAGAAAATAACCAAAAATAGGATTTAGTGTTTTTGCAGTGTATCGTGTTGAGCATGACGTCAGGATGTGTGTGTGTGTGTGTGTGTGTGAGTGTGTGAGGGCCCTGGTTTGGAGACAGAAACTTCATCATCATCAGAGACTGGTGTAATTTATATAAAGACTTTTTTTCTACATCAACGTTTTCTAACCAATCAGGAGCAGATCTGCATTCAACCAGAAAGTTTTCACACCCTGCAGGCAGACGGAGGAGCCAAAACTTTCTGACCCGCTTAGCTGTAGAGCCAGGATGTGACTTTAACCACCAGCCAAGGTTTAATATGCCTGTTGAATGTTTATACTCTGTGAGCCACTTAAGCTACTAAATATTACTCTGAGATGTTGTAAACTTACACAAACATGTATTTAAGTAGTAAAATTGTGAATTTTAAGTCTGGAGGAAAAACGGAAAGAAAAAAAAATCCCTGGTTTTGCTGTTTTTTAAATGTCGTCATTTTGTGTGTTTGTGAACATGAAGCACTTTCTCACACTGGTCACACACAGCTTAAAAACAGAAACACACACACACACACAGCGTGTATCTGCTCTGATGTGTTTAAAACCTCTGGTTGATTGCAGACGACGCTGTGCGCCGTTTCCCCACGAGCTTCTGGTCGCTGCTGCTAAAAACCCAACAGGATGGAGAGAGGACTCTTCTTCTGTTGCATCGCAGTATTTATTCTCCCTCCGTCGCCCGTTCTGCCCCACGACCTTTGCCCTTTCTGTCTCGGTTCAGTTGCAGTCGCCTTCTTTTGTGTCTCCGAACTGTTTTTGTTTGTTTTCTCCCTCTGGGCATTTAAATAACTGTAATATAACTGTAACATATTTCCATAAAAAAGAAAGGAAAATCAGAAAAAGTGTTTTGTTTTTTTTACACATTAATCAGCTGATTTGTAGCGCAGAATATAAACACTAGGGGGCAGCAGAGGGCTGGAACGGCCTTACAGTTATGCTACTTTTTACATGTATTTTTATGCTTTTTAGACTAAAAAAAATCACACAGCTTTTATTGAATTACATGATTGGACATGTGAAATAATTCTTACAGTTTACAAAATAATTTATATTAATTTCTGGTTGCAACGAAAGATTATTTTAGTAATCGGATAAATAATAAATTGGCAGATTTTTCATTTAACTTCAAACTTTTTCTTTTTTTTTCTTTTTTTAGAAAAATACACCACAAGATGCAAATTAACATCTCTTTTTTTAAAGTAAGAAAATTATTTTATTGCCTAAAATGCCTAAATAAACAGTTGTTTAAATGCAAAAAGTAAATATACTTTGTACAGGTTTTGCTTTATTGCTGCTCTGAATGTGTTGTTTTGTCAACAAATGGCATTTTTTGAGTCTTCATGCTCCAGTTAACAATTAATCCATCACTACATATGTTGACAATTATTTCAATAATTGGTTCGTATTGATTAATCCAATTAGTGGTGACATTTTTTATTTTATTTTATTTTTATTTATTATTTTTGTATTTTTCATGTGATTATCAGCTTGTTTCGCTTATAAATATACAAACAAAAAATTAGATAGAAACTTTAAACTAATTTGAAGTTCCTGGATGGAAAGTCAACAATAAAACATTTGTTTTTCCCAGCAGCCTTTGAACAGCCGAACTCTGCTCGGGTTGCTAGGTAACGGGGCTTGGTAGTGGTTGCTAGGTAACGGGGCTATGACTCAGCATTCAGGAGTTTTTTGAAAAGTCGTTTTCAAAACAACAGCAATATTACGTTATTGTCAAAAACGGCTCGGGTGTTTTTTTAAGTGCTTGTTGTATTTTAGAGGCAGTAGAGACCCTCCAGGTTTCCTCCCAGTTTTGCCCCAAAGCAAAGCAACAAATAAAGAGAGGGATCAAAACCATAAAGCAGATTTTTCTAACAATCTGGTGACGATATGTGGTTGTTTGACCATCATGAAAGTGATTTTAGAGAGAAATCGGCGATCAAAACAATAAAATGTTGGACTGGAAATCCCACCCAGATCGGAACCATTTAGCAGAAATCTGTTGGTTCTCAAACCGCATCATTCATTCATCACACGGTTTGTTTTTAAATTAAAAACATTACATTATGACTGTTTATTAGAAATCTGACATGTTTCTGCCTTCCAGACGATTAAACATTATTTTGGAAAAACGTAAAACAAAAACGCAGCTTCTTCCTTTTAAAAATGTGTATTTATTTCAAATATTTACACTCTAAAAAACACATTTATTTACATTCACATTCACGTGTTTTCTATCAGGCACACAGTTGCATGTTTCACAAATACTTGAGGAGCTTCATTAGCGTTCAGCTGCTCCGGACTAATTAAAACTATATTTTTGTGCGACCCTGACAACCTCGGTATGTTTAGCTGGTTTTAATAGTCACATCAAATAATAACCAGCAGGCCTGCTCCCTTTTCTAAATCAACAAAACACATCAGGCTGTAATTAAACGGGAAAGTGAAAGTTTACGCTCTTTAATGACTGACGCGTTCACGTAACGTTGGAAAAAAAAGTGTTTCTTTATATCTCTGTCATGTTTAGTTTATTAGAGTTGATTGCAGCTTCCTGCAGTTTGTTTTCCTCAAATGTAAACACAGAAAAAAGAGGTAAAACATCTGATAATCATGTTTGTTTCCTCCAGGGAGCATCTGGTGTTGCTCACTGCAGCAGTTCATGATGCCATGATCGTTATTCCATCCCTGCAGGTCGTGCAGCATGACACAAATACCAACCGTAAGAGCTTTTAAAGCGACAGCATCGTGATGTAACAATTAGAAATGGAGGCAGTAGAAAGTCTTTTTGTTTCAGTGGCTTTTAATTTTCCCTTTAGGGTCATCCTTCCGCCTTCATGTTGGAAAAAATGGAAAAAGGTTTATAAAAATAAAATGCACCAAGCATAGATCAGTATGTACATCCTTAAGAAAAACAAATCCAGGAAATCAGCACACGTTTTGGAGTGGACATCAAAAATCACAAGTTTTTGCAAAGCATCAATCTGTAGCGTAAACTGCTGTTGCTCTTGTTGTCCACTAGAGGGCAGAAAATGAGATAGCAGCAGTGAAAAATGAAGAAGGCCCCGTCTTGTCCTCATACGTCAACTTAAATGGACAGATTTTAAGTCAACACACCGCAAAGACACAGAATCTGACCCACTGTTCTTAGTCCACCTTCTAGTGCAAATAATACACTTAAAATAAAACAAAACTAACTTACAAGTGACTTTTCAGCAAGCTGGTTTTAAGTCAATAATTTATTGATATTGATTAAAAAATTATATTTCTATTGGCAGATTATTTAACTTATAACAAAACATTTTTCCCATGTTACAAGCAAAATAATGCCAGTGGAACTAGTGAATTTTATACAAATACTAAGGAATTATTGACTTAAAAGAAGCTCCTATATTCTGCTGAACAGTTCCTTGTAAGTTAGTTTTGCTTTATTTTATTTTAAGTGTATTATTTGCACTAGAAACTAAACAAAAATACAGGTAAAACTTTGCGTTTTTACAGTGCACATTTTCATTGTCCTCAGATGGTACAAAGAAGTTTGTTTAAATGAAACAAAAATGAGAAAAAAACAAAAAAGATCTGGAAGTAAACACATTATAAAATGACAGATATTTTGGTCTAAACTTTTTTAAATTGTTATATTTTGTGCACATGTGCCCTGCTTTTTATTTGCCATATTTTTGAGTGAAAGTGTTACTAAGCATTGAGAGTCATGAAGATATTTTTGGAAACAATGTCAGATAGACTAGACAAATAAAAGTGAAGTAGTTTATGTTTCAGTTTAAATTGATTTTTATTTTGCCTGTTAAATTTAGATCTTCCTTCTGTAAAGGATGAATTTATATAAGTGATAAGATCCTAAATATAATTCTTCTCCTTTTGTTTGTTGTAATGTGTAATGTTTGTAAGTCATCTTTAAACGACAGTAGCACATTATTTCCTCTAGTCCCCAGAAATCAGGACTAAACAGCACCACCTGGTGGTCAAATGTGAAATTGCTCCCTATTTGTTTGCGATTTTAATGAAGCACTTTACCGCCATCTGGTGGTTGGACTTATATCCAATTATAACTAATTACATTATTTTTCATATTTAAAATTCTATTTTATATCAGTTGTAAGTGCTATTTTCAAATTAACCATCCTTACATAATTCTTTTAATCTGCCAGACGGCACAAAGACATTTTTTTAATATAATTTAAAATAAACCCAGGCTCAGATGTCTAAAGTGTTTACGGGGTAAAAATATAAATATTTACTGTAATATTTATTGAAATAGCAGGTTTTTTAAAGGTATTTGAAGCAGAAGTCATTCAGTTTCTGTGTAAATCGGTTCTGGACCTGATCAGACCAGAAAAGTTCTTCAGATTTTGACTTTGCAGAGCAGAAACTGCTGAGTCCGGTCTCACTTTACCCACGCTCCAAACTACCATTTTAGTCTCTTCTGCCAACCAGTGTTATCAAAATTTTGTTCAGTTTTTGATCCCGTACAACAAAAGAGGAATTTCCTCAGGAGAGTCTGACGCTTGCAGCAGTTTGATCGATTTTAAGAAAACCTCGATCGGCTCCAATCGGCTTCGATCGGCATCGATCGGCATCGATCAGCTCCGATCAGCATCAATCGGCCCTCTAACTGATGAGAAACGCTCCGAAGAAGCTGCTCTTCTCGTCCATATCCACAGCAGAGGCGTTGGTCACCGTCACGAACAGGCGGTCGCCGGTGGTGAGCGGGAACAGCCCCCCCTGGTGGGCGGAGTGCAGAGAGAAGTCGGAACCACGGGACCAGCAGGAGGTCCGGCTGGTCTTCATCAGCAGGATGGGAACCGGGTAGGAGTTCACCTGGAGCAGAGCCACAGAAAACCAGACAAAAATACTTTATTTTGTATGAAAGACTGAAATACAGCAGATCAAAGATTTTATCAGCTCTTCTGATGAAAAAAAATGCTTCTGGTGAACAAAAATAAAGCAAGGCAACTCCAACTAAAAACAAGTTTTCAGAAACAAGACTTTGTTTCAAACCCTCCCCAAACCCAGTTAGATGATTAGCATGTGGCTAAGAAACAACAGCTGCTTTGTTTCTATCATCGTGCATTAAATATATTCAAATTGAACTAAACTGGTTTGATCAATCAGGGATTAAAATTTGCTTTGAAGAAAGCATTTTGCTAATACTCCTAACATGCTAAGTACCATGCTAAATAGCCTAGCATGCTAACATGCTAAGTACCGTGCTAAATAGCCTACCATGCTAACATGCTAAGTACCATAGATATTATGACCAAAACAAATATTTTGTGTAAAAGTATAAAGTAAGGATCCAGGTAAGATACAGGCAATATTTAAAGCCTTTTCTTTGCATTTATTTATGTGTATTCTGTTTAATATGCATAAATAAATGCTTTTATGTAGAATAGAATATACTTTATTGATCCCCTGGGGAAACTGCTTATTAGTTGACAAGCTACTCCATCTAAAATCTTAAATATTACTAGTAGAATTAAAACAATAAGAGATACAATTTATAATATGTATGCCTAAGAGTGATTTAAGTAGTCCAATATAACTGAATATAAATAAACAAATAAATAAACAAGTAAATAAGCACGCACATGCAAATATGTTAATCTTGTAAAAATAAAAATGTTAAGATAAAAATGCCTTAATCTGTAAATATGTTTTACTCAAATTCACCTGATTCAGATTCACTAAAGGAATGCTGTTACTGTATTTTACGCAATAAAATGTTAATTTTCTTATTTAAAAAAGGAATTAATAACATATTTCTAATATTTTTAACAAAAGCTTAATAGTGAAAGTGAATGTAAAATGTGTAGATTGTTCCAATTTAATCGATTAATCAATAGAATAACTATTGAAATAGCTGTGTATTGCATATTGTTTAATACGCTGTGACAGGCAGAGTGTCTTCCTGATCCCTCAGCTGTCAGAAACATGTCTGTAAACTGATGGGGCGATGACGTGAGCCGTCATCATAGAACAATCTTTGTGAATATTTTCTCCTTCTTGAATCTTGCGGCCCAGAAAATCGATTTCTTTTGGGCCTCAACATCTGTGTCGGCGCCGGGAAAGAAGCAACACAAACCAGAACCAACACATGTGGGCCGTCATGGATGGATGAGAGAAACTCTCTGGAATGACGTTGAATGTCTTGAGACTATTTTTATTTGTGTTAGGAAACAGTTCCCACCAGAGCAGCTGATTAGAAAATTACTTTCTCCAGGTTTGACTTTTAGTTTTACAGGTAAATAATGAGAAACGTTTCTCTGTTGAGCTCATTTTTGAGTTAATGTAATTTTTCTCCAGCCTGTAATGAACTGCAGGTCTCTGGATGTCACGAAGCAGCCATGCTCACTGTCTGGCTCCACATTAGTCACCAGTTTTGACTGATCGACGTCAGGGGACGCAGCGCTTTGGCTCCTTCTGATGTGAATCATCACAAACTAAAGACATGAAATGTTCAGGACAAGCCGGCTTTTTATCTCACAGGCAGGCGGTTTGGACCAATTATCACCAACATCAGCGTTTAATTTAAGACTTGAATGTTTATTCAGATCCATCTCAGCAGGGGTGGTGAGTCACCAAAAACAGATTACAGGTCCACTACTATGCTAGGATCGACTAAAGCTCAGTTCTGCTTATTTTGAGCTCATTAAGGAATGAGCTGCGCAATTAGGTTATGCAAATGAGCTGCTGCAGGCCACACCCCCTAACTCTGTGTTTACATTATTAGATACATGAAAATGGCTCCACAGAAACACAGAGGGACAAACAAAGAAGTGGAGCCTCCTGACCAGCCATCAAACCTTTAACCTCTGAAGGATGAAACAGATCTGACACACATTTATATCCTTATTAAACTCTGAGGATTCTGCTTCAGTTCAGCAAAGCAGCTGAAATCAACACAATAATTCAGCAAAAAGACAGTTTCTTTTTCTGCAAATGCTACTTTTTCTTAAAATATGTGTTTGAGAGGTTAGAGAAGAAACACTTCTCTCAATACGCAAAAATAAACTTCCATTTTGCGCAGGTATTGTGAGTAGCGTAACATCACAGGGTTTCCCTCAGTGTATCATAAGCCTGGCGGGCCACCAGGCTTTCCTTCAGCCCCACCAGGCTAAAACGCTGGTGAGGACTGCATTTGTTTATATAATTTAGATTTTTTTTTTTATGTAAGAATTTATAGTTGGTGTTTAGGAATTGTTAAAAATGTCTTCCAATAACATGCAAAAAATCCAGTGATATTTTGTAATTTCCTGTCAACTTTAAGCATTTTTAAAGTAATTTTCCTGGGAGAAAACCTCCATCAGACACAGGGTTAGCAGAGGCTAGCATTCAGCATTAGCTTATGCTGACAAATCATGTTGATGCCAAACAGCAACAGAAAACAGAAAACACATCATCATGTACTTACATCACCATCATTTTCAGATTAGACACAAGCACTAGGACCTAAACCTTCCTTTAGTCCAAGTTTTTTGGTAAATCCTGCCATGTACTGCTGGTAGTTTTCAGAGGAATCCTTCCTAAACTGATCGGCATAAACTACAAACTCTCAACATCGCAGGGACATTGCAAGTAGAAATAAACTGAAGCCACTTTGCTCTGTTCTCCATGTCTGGAAGAAAATGCATGAACACAAGCTGTGTGCTGCAGCTGATAAGAAAATATCTTCCTTTTCCAGCAGCCATTGTACAGCAGGAGCTTGTAATGAAGTGGGTGGAGCTCCAAAATGGAAGTAGAGAACCATGAAAAAGTGAATTTTGCATGCTACTGGATCTTTAAGAAGCAGCTGATGCGTGAAATGCAGTGATATTGCTGCCAAATTAAAAAAGAGGTGTTCACCTTTTTGTAGACGTACTGCAGCAGGGGTTTCCCCCGGTCCCCCGCCTCCTCGCTGTTCTCCTCCAGGGAGTGGGTGTGCCTGAAGTACGTCTGGGCGTAGACGTAGTAGAGGCCAGGATGAGACACCACCAGCTCCCCATCCAGCAGCTGGACGTCCTGCAGGAACGCCAGGCCCTTCTGACCCTCCCACCACGAAATCTTCTGGCCCTGAACGCGTCGCCCTGCAGGAACTGCAGCTGAAACCAGAAGAAATCACGTTTCATTTTAAACATGGGGTTGAGGAAAAAAAATCTGGAATACATTGTCTCTGCAAAAATGTGAAATTAAACATTAGCATTTATGGTGGCTAAAACTTTTAGCAACTCAACATTCATTTTACTAAAAGAAAGCAAAAAAAACATTTTATAATGACAAATGTAAAATTTAAAAAATGAAATCCACACCTCTGCTTCCTGTTACATAGAAGCTAGCATTAGCATTGCAGTACAGCTAGTTTCTACAGGACCACTTTACACCACTTTACAATTTGCTGTATTTGTAATTACTTAAGCTGTTAGCAAGAGCGTGCCATAGAGGAGGACAAAATAAAAACAAGAGCTGAATTCAAATCTAAGTATACTGCTCCTGTTTACATAGAAGCCAGCATTAGCACAGCAGCACAGCAAGCCAATACAAAAAGTTAGAAAAGTAGAATTTGAAAATTACCATAAACTATTGCTCTTTTTAAACAATTTCAAGTCTTACCAAGGGAACAGATTTCGAAAGGAGGGAAAAATTTTAAAAAACAAGAAACAAGAGACTTTTTGGTCAGGTTAATTTAGAAGCTAGCATGAGCGATGAAGCATTGCTAGCTGCTTTTGGAAGCTATACTTGCTTGTATTTATACTGTTATTTATCATTTATGCAGTTATTATTATCGCATAGTTTAGGCCTGATATAATCCATGTATTTCTTCAATTACACTGATGTATTTATTATTACAAGCTATGTTTATGTTGGACGCTTTATCTTTAGCATTTAGCTTTGTTTGTAAAACTGATTCAGCTCCAATAAAAATACATTTGAAACAGGATTCTTTCTATCAAATGTAGTCAGTAAAGGTTCTCTCACCTCCTCCGTCTCGCTCCAGTTTGGGCACAAAACTTCCCGTGACATGAGCGGCAACTTTGGGGCGAGGTGAAGCCCTGTCCTCCATCACTATTGAGGGCAACACACGGGACACTTCATCTGTTATGAAGAGAAAAGATAAGGACAAAACACAGATAAGAAATCTCTTTAAGTGTTAAATTTCCAGCATGTTAAGAATCTTCAGGACTTCACTGAGGCTTGAAATAAGGTAGATAAAACAATGTTTTGTTTTTGTTAATTTCTTTGCTAGCACGTTAGCTAGAGGTTTGGTTGCTGTTTTTGGGATGGTTGTCCTGTTGATGATCCAATTTGGTCAAATATTCATCTGAAATGTTTTTACATTTTACTCTGAAATACTTCAAACAGAGCAGACCGCACACTTCCTGTGGATTGTCCCTGATCATCAGTTAATTAAGGTATTATTTGTTCTCCTTCTTAGAGAGAAGACGCTTTATTCTGAAAAACCTTTCCAAACAGGCCATCACAGTCTAACATGATCTTGTTTTTTTATTCCTGAAATGATTGACAGTTATTGATTATAGTTGATTAGCAGAAACAATATTTTCTCTAAGGTCATTGCTGATATCTGTCCACCCTGGCTTCATGTTAGTAAGGACACGATGCAAGGATTATTTTAATAATTAATTATTTGGACGATTAATCGATTAATCATATTTTAAAAATGACACATTCTGCAGGTTTTCATTTAACCACTTAAGTAATATTAGAAACACATTAAAAAAAATGCAAATAAACAAATAATTCAATTCAGTTTAATAAGAAAGTAAAATTTTCATAGCTTGAAATGCAATAATGTAGCATTATTTCAGTAGATCTGAACCGGGTGAAGCTAAAACTAGATTCAAAATGCAAAATATATGCATTTTTGTACAGATTTGGCTTTTTGGCTCTATACTCTAATTAACAATTCATTAATTGCTAAATTACTTGACGATTATTTAAATAATTGATTAATCATGACTAATCGTTTCAGCCCTACTGTTATATATTTCATCTGCAGCACCTGGCACTATTTTCACTCACTTTGTAATTTAGTTTTGTGTGTAACTTAGTTTTTTATTTAGGTTTTCCTTTGGGGATTATTTAATCTCTTTTAAAAACCTCCTAGAGACCAGATGATGTTTCTATCATGACATCAGAGGAGCGTTTTTTTCTTGATTTTGTTGTTTTTCATTTTCCTCACCTCTCACTGCTGATGAAATCCGCCTCTGGTAGCGCTGAGACAGAGACTGCAGGAAGAACAGATGAAAACAATTATTTGGAGTCACACAGATGTGTGTTCGGTGCTTTGCTGGTTACTTCAGTACCTTCACAAACTCAACAGCATTTTTCTCTGACACGTCTCACTTTAACAAGCCCTGAGGCATCACATCACGTTACTCAGCACAGAACAACAACATGAGCTGCAGCTTTACGCCTTATCTGCAGCGAAGCAGTCGGCTCTGCCCAACATGCAGCTATTTGACCCTGGAAATGTGCTGACACCACGACCAGGAAGTTTCTTTCGCTGAATAACAAGGAGCTTTCATGTTCCTGTAAACCGATCACTCGCTGCTTCCTCGTCTTGCTCAGTTTATCAGCAGCTGCAACCAAACTGATGAAAAACGAAACTGAATTTAGAAAAAAACGCAGGATTAAATTTAATATTTGAGCTTTTTCATTCCTGTTTCAATCAATGAAAGTCTTTTATTACATTTTAACTTTCTGAAATGTTGATATGCATGACTTTATTTGGAGGTGCCAATGTAATTTGGGGCTTAATATGAATAAATATAGCAATTAATTCTGTAAAAGCATGTTTGTTAGCATAAAATTTGACTCATTTTGAGAAAACTCTCTGGACAGATTACAAAGAAACAGTCTGAAAAATCAAAATAAAAATCCATCCATCATAACATTTAGAAAGGAAACTGGTTCTCTGTCCCAGAAATGGAGGCGTTTTAGAGCAAAATGTGTGAATAAAATCCAAAACAAAAGTGAAAAACCTTGTGAAAATACGGGCTGAAGCGCCGCTCAGAGAGGAAGAAGCCATCACTCCAACAGTGACATAAAAAACTGGTCTGCATTTTGCAAAATGCATGTTTGAAAATGTGAAAAAGACCCAAAAAATTTTACCAAAATTTAAGTACCATCCAACAGTTATTTGAATTTTGAGCGAATTTTTAAAATATTGCAAAAAAAGAAAAAACAGAGAATTATAATTTATGTTTTTAGCAAACCAGCCGGCGACACAGAGCTTAATTATGTCAGACATCAATGTTAAAATGTAGAGATTGTCAAGTAGAATGAACCACACATCTCTTTTGGACTTTCCTGCCTCTGGTAAGGCACAGACCCAGCAGTGGACGAGAACTTTTTGCAAAGTTTAAATATTAGTTTAAACAGTCTGTATGTTGTGACAGTTTGGTATAAAACAGATAATCTGTGAAAAAAATCAAGTCTTTCTGCCTTCTCCCAGTGCTGACTAGAAACAACCAATCGGTCTTAGTGCTGTGAATCACAATTTCATGTGGCGCTGCTCTTTCCCCCACTTTTTGCTCTTTGCTACTGCTAGCTTCTCTTGTCATGAATGCTAGGCTAGTTAGCATAGCCACCAACAACGGCGGATAAACAGTTTTCCTGTAACATTTAATTGTTTTTCTGCCATTAGCACATTTAGCATCATATACATGAGAATGATTGACAGCATTAAGACCCTCCTGCTGGCTCTGATTAGTTTTCAAATTATCCGTCTCTTATTTAACAAAAACATAAAAAACACTTTTTTATATAAAAGTACTGCAGCTTCAATGCAATACGTCAAGATGTGAAAGAAAAGAAAACGTGGAAACACGGATAGTTTTGCCTTGGAACACCATCCTTGTTTTAGAGTTTTAATTGTGAGTTTTTAGCATTTTTGCATGATTTCTCATGAGGAATTGTAATTTTAAAGGATTCTCCATACTTGCAGGTAAAAGTATCTCAGTAGGATGACTGTAGTTTATTAAAACTACAGCTGGTAAAACAAGAAAATGTACAAATATGAACAGTGAAATGAAGAAACTCAGTGTGTGTGTGTGTGTGTGTGTGTGTGTGTGTGTGTGTGTGTGTCAGAGCAGAGCAGGTGAATGCATTCCTGTGCTGATTAGACCACAGAGGATCACATCACATCTATGAAGGAGCTCATTGTGCAACTGACAGAGATTTGGATCATTTCGGCATTTTTCCTGCCGCCTCTGTTCACAGGAAGCCACTGATAATCATATTAATAAGGATAAGTACCTGCCCTCCGCTCTGTTAAAGGAGCTCTCATTGTTCCCAGCTTATCCAAAACCTAAAGAATTAACCAAATTATTGCAACAGTTGGAGGTTTTTTTTTCATATCAAAAGGCTGACATGAAAGAAGAAACAGCAATGGCGGATAAAAGTAGCTTCTTGGAATCGTAATTTTCAGGGCAGTTTTGAGTTTTGAGTGTGTGGGAAGTTTTGATGCAGAGCAGAGGAGGAAAAATTAACTTGTTGAACCTCCCCAGCTTGCCAAAAAGTGACAGCATATTAAACTAATCAACAGAGGGGGTTGTAGCTGCATTTACTCAAACAACGTTTTGGAAAAAGTTGTTTAGGGAGTAGTTTTACTACACTGTATTTTCTAAATTTTACTTGAGGAATATTTTATAGGCCTGTCACGATTGTTTAACAATAAATTGTCCCAGAAGCTATGGCGATAAACGATAATATTGTTGATTGGAGGCCATTTTCAAACAATATATTCTCAATAAACTCAATAAAGGTATTTTAAATATCCAAAATAAAGAAACAAAACAATAGAAATAGCAAATAAAATGAATTTAAAAAGCTTTGTAAACAAAATTGTCCAGCAAAAAAAGACTAGTTGAGTCCAAAACTCCAAACTGAAGAGTTTGTAAAAAATAGAAAAACTATAAATCATGCAAATAGAAAATATTGAGCTCACCTTAATTTATCATTTGATTTGTTTATTTATTTTGGATATTTAAATATCTTCCTGTTCTTGCATTATTATTATGCCATTATCATTAAATTACATGAAAATATTCTCAAAAAAACAATATTATCATTTATCACAATAACTTCTGGGACAATTTATCGTCCAGAAAAATTCATGGTGACAAATATTCATACATGACATATTTTAACATGCATCTATTAGTTTAATATGTTTTATGTTGGAAAATTTGATTTGAAAAATGTTTCTTCTGCTCAGATCTGTTGCTCTGTTATTATGTTTTTGGTTTATTATTTCACTTTCGTCTTTAAAGTGCTGGAATGTGTCCATTTTTCTGTCTATCTAACATCGTAAAATGTTATTATCAGTTACTCAGAAGTTGAGAAGCGTTTCTAAGGAGTACGTTTTCACTTTTACTTCAATGAAAACATGTTGAAGTAATGCTACTTTCACTTGAGAACTATCTGTGGGTAATCTGCTGACCAACAAGCGTTGCTGTGTTGCTGGGTTGCCAGATAAGAGCCAGGTGTGATACCTTTTCGATGAGCAGGTGGAGCTGCTGGGTCACCTGCCAGCATGGATCTCCCCGTACAGCCGTGATGCTCTGCAGGTCGGAGCCTGTCAGACAGGAAACGCTGCTCCTGGCGAACGTCTCTTTCATCTGTGGAGACAAAATAAAAACAGTTTCAAAGCAATTTTCTTGAAAATTCACCTCAATCATTGCTTAAAAAGGAGGCTATCTCTGTTTTCCTAAAAGGCTGAGTCAACATAAAAGTTTCCTGGCAGGTGTCCCGTTCTTTGCTTCTTATCTGTTTATGTTTCATTTCCCACTTATTGCTGCTCCATTTTATGTGAGTTAATGATTAATTGCTGTAAACACAGACCAGGAGTCTCTCTGGAATAAATCCATTTTAGCAGAAGAAGCACGCATGCTCTGCAGAAACTCATAAAAACGGCTGAAGTCTACCTCCAAACTTTCCTGTCACCTCTGCGCATGTGTTTGCACAGATTTAACGTGAACATGCATGGTTTCAAACGTCAATTTTCCAAAAACAGAAACGTTTGTAGAAAAAAAAAAACATTTTTTTTAACAGATATCATGCAAGAGTTTGCAGAAAACGCAGAATCTGTTGCACCAGCATCGGTCTGACGCACAACGCGCGCTGTGCGCAAACAAAAACCATCAGCCCGCATCTTTTCCCCCCGTTTCCTCACCGAGTTCAGAGCCGAGGTGAAGTGCAGCACCGTGATGGTGACGACCACCGTCTGCAGCAGAACCGCCACAAGCAGCAAGACGCCCAGCTTCGGACCGGAGCCCGTCATAACGACAGACCGCCGTCCGGTACCAGCAGCGCAGCAGCCGCGTCCCGACCCGTCTCCAGAACTCCAGAACTAGAACAATGGCTCAGAGGTGGACTCTTTAACTTCTTGCCCTCCCCATTCCTGCACACAGGAGGAGGAGGAGAAGGAGGAGGCGGGTCCGGAGAGTAAAAAGCTGCTCCCTGTTTGAGTTTCTCCTGCAAGGAGACATTATTGTTTCATTTCTGCTCTGAGAAAACACAGATAACTTTCTATAGTTTATTGTGAGGTTCATATCTACACATCTACAAAAAAACAACTCTGACACAATAAAACCCAGAAGAATGGCACCTGCATGACTTCTATTTTAACGCCAAATATTTAAGCCCACGGATCGCATGTAAAGGGCAGAATCGGGAGAGGAGAACGTTCTGGTTTCAGTTGGCTACATGAGGCGGGAAATGTCGACCGAAAAACAAAGAATTTTAACTGTAACTTTACACAAGTACTCACAAAAACATGTCGACTTTCTTTTAGAAATGTTAAAGTTAAAAAAAGTTCCAACAAATTATTTTAATAGTGTATTTGCGGTTGCCGTTTATGTAAAAGCTAGCATTAGCACAGCTAGCATTAGTAGCTAGCTGTGTTAGTGTTAGCTGTGCAACACAAAATCCAATATGGCAGCCGCAACTGCGTAGTTAAGCGGTTCAGTTGACCTTTTCATAGTTTTTGGTCACTTACTGAGTTCTTTACAACTTCTGTTAATTAACATTTTCCTTCAGGATTCAAATGAAGTGTAGGAAACTAATAAAAACTAATAATAATAATAAAATTAGCAAAATATGACTGGACATTATTTTTGGAAGGTGACAATATCTAAAATATTCAAAAGAAAAATGTCACAGATACAATGCTACCTGATTGGCAGCCAATCCTGGGGTGTTATTTTTTCCTTAGCTCTGATTGGCTAAGGAAGAGATAAGAAAGACTGGATGTTAGCTTCTGTTTGACCTGTTAAAATGGGCAACTGTAAATGGTTTTAGAAGGGATCACAAGCCTCTCATGAATACAATATTACATAGTTACATTATTTGGTGGTGTTACTAATGCTAGTTAACCTGGTCACTGAGCAAAATAGTGATCAAATTTATGTGGGTGTGAGGTGTTTTCTGAATAAACTGTAATTCTGGCTTGAAAAATGGTCCAATTTGGTTGCAGCGTCTATAAAAAGCTACCAGTATCTCCACTATTTATTATTTTTGATTGAAATAGAACGTGTCAACTTGCCAAGACTGCTTTCAGCATGTTGCTAATAATAATTAGCGAAACAAGAAGCAAATCCCAGTAGTTTTCAGAGTTAAAACTGGAAAATGGTTCCACACAAAGCCCTGATTTCAAAAACCAATATGTATGCCCAGCTTGTAAAATCTTTTTATTTGAACTTCTCATAGTTTGGGTTTCCTAAATTCATCATTTTAATGAATGTGATAAATGTGTGTTTAAATGCCAAAAAAATTAAATCCCACAAGTTTTCAGATTTGAAACTGCAATAAAATCTGAACAACTTCACAAATTGGAAACTGTAAAACTTAGCTATCCAGCCTGGAGTGATTTCAGCTTTTCAACACTTTTTAAATACTGAAAATGCACTAATTCAAGGCAAGACACTGTTTTTCTCTCTGACCTCTTGAAGCAGGGAGTTCCCCAACCCGAGGGGCCCGGACCACATGGGTGACCTTTAAGGCCTGTCGAAGATTTAGGAACCACATTAGTGGGGCTCTACCAGATGATCTAGAGCAGTCAGCACTGTGAGTCAGAAGATTAGATACAGGCTGGAGCCAAAGCAAAATGTACACCCAGTGCTAACAGTGTTTGAAGGCCAACAGGGGCATGAATGTTGTGCCATCTTTTCAGAAAGACTGGGAAAAAATGGAAACATGGGTTACTTCACTGTATCGAACAGAGCAGACATAATTCATCCGCCTCTTGAAGACAAACAGAAAACACGGTTCCAGGTTCTGGAATGAAAATAAAAGTCGGGGAAATCCGTTAACTCAGTTTATTAAACTGGAACCACAAAAACAAAGCTCAAGTGTTGTTTTCAGGACAGATAGAAGTCAACAAAACACCACATGTAAAACAAGGTCATCGACAAACAGCAGAGGATTATTAGCACCAGCTGGAGTGTCTCCATAATCAAACTAAAGATTATTTTTTCCAGAAATCTGGTTCCTTTTGATTCACGTTTAGGGGTTTGAAAGTTTGTTATTTCTAAAAACTCTTCAAACTGAGTCATTGAATCATTCCTTAAACAGTTTATCACTTATCTAATAGTATCTTGACCTTTCTCTGTACTTTCCCAGTTTCATCATTATGGTTGTCTCTCATATCAGTAGTATTAATATCACATAGTTATATTGACCCAAACTTTCACATTGGTGCATCTATTGTAATTGCTACAATAGATTAAAAACCGTTGTGATTGCTTAATGGTTGTTGGGGCTCATCTTTTCATTACTGTTTAGTTTTATTTTGTTGTGACTTTTTGTTTGTCTAATTCAGGAAGTTTTAGTTTTTAGAGTGCATTTGCTAGTTTTTCTTAGTTATTAGTTATTATTAGTTATTATAATTTCAAAAGGTGAAAGTGTTGTGATTATGCATACATCAGTTTGGTGATTAATACTCAACAGAAGATGCTATTTCTGAAAATGGGTTCAAATTGTTGAACAACCAACTGATGCTGACGTTTTCTCCCATCTTGTTGTAGCCGCAATTTGCAGACAGGTAACGTAAACTGCTAACCTGTTTCACATCAGTTCAATGGCTAATAAATAAATTCATTAACACAAAAACAAAGGATATTATATCTAGAATTTTAGTATGGTTCCACCTAGTTATATATTTTTTTAATTAATCACAGATTTTATTTATTAAGTTTTCGTTATTTGTTAGTTTTAGTTAATCCCGAGTCTCTGCTGTTATTTAATGGGTGAGAAAATAGAAACTTTGGAACAAACCGTTTTAAACCACATTTGAGTGCAGTAAAAACCCAAAGGCTACAAATATTTCAGAAATGAGTACAGGCTGTACTGTAAATCCATCCCTCACGTTAAGTTTGGCGTCCAGAGAAGCTCTGGTCGTTGTTATCAATATATTGTTTTGCAGCAAAGCGGCCTGAGCCTATAAATGGATCGCGGTCCTGCTGGCTCGCTCCTGCGTCTGCAACATCTGGCCTCAATCTGGCTCGTACGCCCCGCCGTCCTGGGGGAGAGCAGCTCACCGCTTAGGTTTCACACCGCTCCACCCGCAGGGCCTGCTGGGGGTAACGCAGAGAAACACAAAGAGCATCATCTCAGAGGCGCTTTGTGTCCTGCTTTCAAATAGCCCCAGCATAAGTAATGCAGCTTGGACAGTTTTTGTCCCCACATTTATATTAATACAAGCTGAAAAGCAGAGTCAGAGTTGCTGAAAAGCGGCCAAGTTGTGATGAGGGAGAGCTGACTCCCTCCTACCTCTGTCGCCTCACACACTCTGCTTCATTCTTCCTTTGTCTGCCGAAACGTTTTTGAATTATCTCTCCGTCACAGGCTGAATTGTTTTCCTGAAATCCTCAGTCTTACTGTCAATGAGCGCATTTCAAATCATTTATCACCGGCCCATGCAGTTTATTATGACTCAACTTTATTGCTTTTATTGTCATCTCATTGTGATTTAATAGAGATACAAATTTATGTCCAGGCTTGTTCAAATATGCCTGTTTGGGTCAGGTCATAGAAGAATCCTTCTATGACCTGACCCAAACAGGCATATGGAGTCTTCTCCAGGTCATAGCACATCTGGACTAAAGACGTGCACGTCTTGTTTTTATTTCCTCACAGTTTTAGCAGTTATTCAGGAAACAGAAAACCTGATTGCATTTTGTTTGAAGCAATGCAACCAATCAAGTTTATGCTTTTTAAACAAATGTTGCATATCTTGTTTTTTTTTTGTTTTTGTTTTTTTTTGTGGGGGGGGGGGTTACCCTTTTGCTAACCAAGATTAAAAGTATGTTTTATATTTATGCAAGAGGTAGTGAAGTAATCACAAACAGTAGTCAAACTCTTCGTAGCAGACATAAAAGTAATCTTAGTTTAAAGAATTTCATAGGGATGCTAATGCAAGCAGATTAGCTAACAGCTACAAGTGCTAACAGCTAATTGTGTTAAAATTCAGCTGAGTTAAAACCTACCAAAGTTACAGCTAATTGAGCTAATAAAGCGAACAACTTCTCACAGCTAATTGACATAAACAGCTGACAATACTAACTACTTTTATGCAAGCTATATAAAGCTAACAGCTACATGAGCTATGAGCTACTTTATAGAAATAGCTAACTGAGCTAAAAGCTACTTGAGTTAAAAGCTAATTAGGTCGCTTTTAACTAGCAGTTAGCTTTAATATCTGTTAGTTTAAGACATAGTTAGTATGACATGCTTAGCTTTATCATAAGTTAGCTCAACCAGCTATAATATCAAGTAGTTCTTAACTCAAGTAGCTTTGAGCGCCATTAGCTGATAACTGGCAATTTTCTGTTAAGTAGCTGTTAGCTTTTATAGCTCTACCTTGTGATGATGTTCATATCACTTAAGTGGCTGTGTTAAAGCAGATGAAACTCAAAATGTCAGTTGTTTGAATAAATATTTTTGCTTAAGCTACTGACTGAAATAATACTGCTACGCTAATTACTTGTTCAGTGACTGTAAAAGTCGCTAATGCTAATAGTTCCTCAATCCAATAGCAGAACTATATTTAAAAATGACTTTGATCAACTAAAAAAAACTCAAGTTATCTTAAAGTGTTTTATTAAAGTAATGAGCAAAACAATGCAGACCTTCTTACACAGTCCACCCTGTATGTTTATCTGACATTAACTATTCTAAATACATAAAGTTTGTGATATGCATAATATTTCTGCAAATTATTTATGAGTATCTTTGGACCCATTTGCTTTTCACGTTGTAATATACTGGCCACCAAAAAAACATTACGTAAGAGAACATGTCAGAGTTCTGGCAGTTAAATATCACTAAAGACGATCATTTGGCTTAATATCGAGTTTCAACAATACCACAAAAATCTAGTTAAACTGCTAAAGCTATAATTTAACCC